TCTACATCAATAACTTAATTTTAAATATAAACAAAATTTAAAGCATTTTGACAAACTATTTAAAACACATAGAAATTTAAATTAATAAGTTGATAATTAAAAATTTGGATTTATATGTAAGAAAGTTTTACTTCTTCCAAATACACTAATAAAATTAAGAAAATCTTTTTAATCAGTATACATAAAAACTACAAATAGCAACCTTTTCTTCCTCTTTTGTGGAAAGAAATGTTTCCAACACATCTTGCATTTTTGTATGTGCACAATCGACTTCTTCTTCGAATTTAGCCAACCTGCATTCCCTTTCACAGAACGTCGTTTTTGCAATTTCATTGTTCAATAGCTGCATAGATAATTGAAAATATGAGATATTATTTTTACACATATATGTATTTTCTTAAGATACTTACCACTTCACCGGTTTTTTTCTGTAAATCCTTTAAAGAGCTATCTATAGTACACAGCTGACTTCTTAATCCTTTTAGTATTGACGTCACACAACCTCCCTAAAAGACAATATCTGTATAATATATTCAGGTTGGTATTGTTGATATCGTTAAGTTCGAACAGAAGCTACTTTTCTTCTGATTTTCGAACAAACCTGAGTTTGGAATAATTGCAAATTCGTCAATATTTGTTCAACTTCTTCCATTACCATAGTTAGTAAATCATTGTTGATGTATGCTTCTGTATATTCGGATTCATTATATCCCTAAAATTTATTTTATACTTCATGTACTATAAAATAATCGATAAAGTATTTAAAATAGTTATTTAATAAATACTTCGAACCTGTGTATTCCCCTGCATACCATTGATGCAACGAAATAATTCTGATTGAACATGATTAATTTCATTTTTTATATCTTTCAGTTTAAGATTGCCACTCACGATTCTTTCACTGTGCCTTAGTCTTTCCTCCTCCTGATAAAAAAGAAAGATATTTTTCAATAATAGATTGCAACAATAAAATTGTAATTAATTTATACTGAAGCTTAAAATAGAAATGTATATTTCAATGATACCTATATATATTTTGATATACTATTATTGTATAAATATTACTTGTAATTCTAGTCTGCTGATTGCTTCTATTAATCCTTCTCGTGTTCTTGTCAAGTAACTTTGCACATTAGTAACTATCTTGTTCAATTCTTCATACTGAAAATGTATTAATTTAGCATTAATCCCTAATTTTATCACAAACTTATCCCGGCCTATTTATTGATCTACACATACATTCTGGTGTCGTGAATTAAATGTTGAAACAACGGTGTTTATCTCCTCGCGAATGTCTTCTGTTGCTGCTTGAGCTTCCACAGTACAGACTCTAAATTCTTCCATTAATTTAAATTGCCGTGCATTATTCACGTTTGACTAGAAAAAGAAAAACGTATTAAATTCAATGATGTATGAGAGAGAGAGAGAGAGAGAGAGACACAAAAATATCAAAATATAAATATCTTACTTTAATATTCTTAGAATCACCACATGCACAACGATTTTCTTCTTTTTTTATCTAGGAAAAGAAAGTATGTGTATAATTAAAATATATCTAATAGTGTGATTATCTTCACAAAATAGTCAATAAAAAAATAAAACTGATATTTATTATACTATATACATACCATACAATCAAAAACAGTAACTTCCTTTTGTCTTTCTAAATATATTTTAGTAATAATTTCAATGCAATTGACCAGTTTGTCTGACATGTCACTTGCACAAAGTTTGTTTTTATTTATGTAATTGTTAGCTATAGTACAATCATCTACCTAGAAAATATATATTTTTGGAAAAACTTTAATTATTTGCTAAAATAAATTTAAAACAATAATGAATAATATTCCATAATAAAGTTTACTTTTACTCTGTTACAAAAAAATAATGTTTTTACCTCATCTTTGGTAGTCAATTTATTTACAAATTTCCCAAGTTCGAGCTTTAAATCCGATAAGATTTCACATTCTTTCTGCATATGTGTTTTTGTACTACTTAAGAATGATATAAATTCATCCTAAAAATAAATTAGAGATAACATAATAATATTATATATAAATTTTCAGAAACATGCCCATATAAATGAATATAAATGATTTTTTTTTAAATGATAAAAAATGGTAAAATGAAACTGGAAACTAAATGTTACTTGCAATTAAAAATTCTCTAAAATCGAGTTTTACGATAATCAGATTTTTTTTTTTTTTTTCATTTTATCCACCTTATTTGATTCTATTGAACTATTTTGATTTTTTTATTTTTGATCTCAGATTCGAATAAAGCATTATCAAATTACCCCATAGGTCAAGTTTCATAAAAATTAAATGAACAGTTTAAAAAATAAAAAGAGATAATTACAAATAGGATTGCTCGTCCACAAAAAGTTAAAATATAATATATAATATTGTACAAATAAATCTTTTTAGAATGCGAAGTATCTATTGAAAACGAAAAATATTTCTAAAGAAACAAAATATTATTGTTTAAATATAACATTATATTATATACGTTTATATTTAATTCGACTGACCTCCTGAGAATTATTCATATCAATACAGACTTTTCGAGAAGACGTATCCTGAAATCATGTTAGAAAAAATAAATATATATTAAAACTGTAACATATGTATAAACAAAATTATTACATATATTATTTTATGACGGTTTATGTTAGAATTTACTGTTATATTAACTTATAAACGAGGCAATCATGTTGATATGCATCTTGTTTTTCATAGATATTGCATAGAATAGATTTAGTTTAAACATATTACTGTGATGATAAATTGCATACTAATTCGTGAATATGCATAATTTATTTATTTTAAAATATCTCAATTTATTGAAAGTGTTATCTTTCCAAAGTGTTATCTTTCCAAAGTTATTTTAGTATCAATGTCATTTCATACGGACTATAAAAAGGAAATAATGATCGAAATATAGAAGTTTATGTTTACCTTATTTCGTACATTTGTTTCTAAAAATTCTTATCAGAGAATGTCAACTTATCAACTTTTGTTAAAAAATATTTAAATTTGTAAGATATCTTCATGCAGTAATTTAAATTCATTTCATTTTATTTCCAGAATGAATCATTAATATTATCTTGAACATGTGACAGAATAAATATAAGTGTTTGTTGTAATTCAATCTGGTAAATTGTTATCTTTACATGGAGGTGACAATTTTCTAACAGTCTGTAGTATTTTTTTATCAATATTCTTTATATATTTATATCGACCAGTTGGAGTATCTACGCGAGGTCGAGATTGGCTGTATAGATTAAGCAATCTATTTGGTAACTTTGTATTAATCGTTGATAAACTTCGTTTGCCACGGTTTAATAAGATCTCAGAATCAGCGTGCAAAAATGCAAAATCATTCTTTCGCTGTGCGGATGTATGTAGGAGGCTTGATACTGGAAATTGCTCAGGAGACTCATGGGATGATTTTATCTTAGTAATAGCAGCGATACGATTATTAGAATTATACTTGCAAGGTCGGGAGATGGGTAAAGTCTTCTACAAATGTAGAAAATTATAGATTTACACTGAAAATTTTACAAATATCCGTCATACCTCTAAAGTTGTTTGCTTCAATCCTTTACGCATTTCTTTAATCAAGTCGTCTTTTAAAAGATTACCTATATTGGCATGATAATTTTGTTTTTCCAATGCCACGATTTCCGCCGTCAGTGTATCTTTTGTTTCTGCAGCTTCCTAAAACCAAAATATATCTATAAAAATAACAGCATGTATATACATACATATATATATAATTTAAAAGAGAATTAAAATAATTAGATGTATATATATAACAAAAATATAATAAAAATATAACATAATAAAATTAAATATAATAAACTAACTTTTTCGAGGCGAGCCACTTTGTCCTCCAGTTGTTGAACTTTCTTACATTTTTCTTCCAGTTGTAATTGTAAATTAATTGAATCAACATTGTTTTCGTAAGTATATACCATAAGTTTAGATTCAACATCTTGGAGTTGTCGATGTAAATTCTTGTTTTCCCTATCTTTTGCATCTAGTACACTTTCCAGAATGTCAGGTGTTAAGATAATCTGAACAGCAACATAGATTTTAAAACTCTTTCAATCTTTAATATTGGAACACGCACAAGTTACATTTTATATCTTGCTTATAAAATGTAAAACTTAGCGAACAGGTAACAACAAAAGCAATTATTATATCAGAGTAGTTCTTTTTTTATAATTTTTATGCTACAACATGATTGCCTCTAAATTAATTCTACAGGAATCAGTACTCAAAAATTAATCCAAAAACTCATTAAAATAAATTTCTATCTGCATAATTATGAAAAACGCACTTACATTGCAATCTTGATCAAAAGCTAGTGGATAACTAATAACTTGATTCGTTTGTTTAGCATGTTCCTTAAGTTTTTCACAAAAACACTGAAGTCTAGAAACATATTTTTTTATAGTATCGTCCTTTATTGATAATTCTGTTGTAAGATCTGCTATTTTTCCTTCCAGTTCCAACTGAGATCTGGAAATGTGTTTATATATATGTCAAAAAAAGATATAAATACGAATATAAAAACTTAATAACAAAAATAAAAAATATACAAATATATAAGATATATATATATATATATATATACAGAATTATATACACTATAAGTAAATACCGCAGTTCACGCTCCTAACAGTCATTGCGCGAACGCTTAAGTATATATACAGAATTATATACACTATAAGCAAGTAAATACGGCAATTCACGCTCCTAACAGTCATTGAGCGAACGCTTAAATATTTGCAGATTCAAGGATTTTATATGATCAGTATCTGTCGGCCCCTAATTTAAAAATATGTATAATTAAATGTAATACTAAAATAATAATAATTAAGATTTCTCGAAAATATAATACTTCAGCAAATGGGGCTACTGACAATTTATTCAACACAAATATATGTATATATGTGTATGTGTATATAATAATAATTTAATTTAATAAAGGTGTAGGGAGCTAAGAAGAACTTTTCGGCTTGTATTGTGAATACATGGTACAGTATTACATGCTTTTGCTTAATAGACAACTTGATCTCTGAAATTTGTCATGCTCTATATCTAAAACAAATCGGAGCTTTCTGGCTGCATTTACATTTACACACATATTTACCTGATTGCAGATACAGCTGAAACAGTAAAAAAAATTTTGTCATTAAATCCTTTACAATGCAAGATATAATGCAAAATATCATATGTTAACTCTCCACATGATCCAATGTTTTTTTTCACTACTTTCCTAATCTAACAAGATCACTAGTACCTTATTATATTTTTAAAGAGTTTTTGGATTCTAAAAATCTAAAAAAAAATTGTAATACACCCTTTCAATATTCAAGAATACAATTTTACAATATAATCCTAAATTTTTTTGTATGTGTTCAAATTTGAAGCAGAATAATTCAAAATTTAAAGTTCGCCTGGATTTTCAAATCTCCGGCTGGACCACAGAGGATTAATTGATAACATGATTAACTTACTCTGGAACTGGAATATCCTCAGGTTGAATCTCAAAGAACTTGATACCATCAAGGCTCCAAACATTTTGCTGATGTGCACGACGAATCACCTCCAATAATCCCCTAATGTCACTTTGTAGATACTCTATTTTTTGTTGTAAATACTCCTCGTCCTTTTCTAGCTGACTGATGCGATTTGAAAGAGTATTTAAAGCCTATAACATAAAGACGATACGTCTTGATTTCACGATGAGTGATAGATTACTAAACAAAATTAGATAATCTCTTTTGCCTTTTCCGAATGATCAGATCTTGTTAAATTATCCACGACCATCTGCGACGATTGTTTTAGTTTCTCCTCTAGTAACTTAACTCTACTACACGCAGCCTGCTCCAAATCTTCCACTGTATGCACTAACATCGCATTTTGCTCCCCTAAATCTTTGATCCAGTCGCTCATCACTTGTAACTTCATCTGCAAAGGAATTTTTGGATTTGTGTTTCAAACACGAATAAAAAAATAATTACTAAGCAGCAATCAAAAGAACTTAAAGAGTGTACATAAAAAGTACAAACTGAATTGGCAATAAATGCAAACTGATAACAAAGCTACTGCTTACAGAAACTCGGTCGGAATCGCCGATAGATTCCCGATCGATCTTTTCGATGCGGGTCTCGTACAACTTGCGGAACTCATCGAGGATACGTAGACTCTCAGTCTCGCCATACGACTCGCCAACATCGGCTGTTCTACAGTCCGGATCTCGCTTAACCAATGTCGGGACGTCACTCACGTCCGTAGAACTTGGCAAACTGGAGCTGACCGAGTGCATTGTTTTCCGTGAGCACAATTCCCGAGCGATCACTGACTGCGGATTTAAGATCTCCCTACACCTGGGTTCGACGAGAACTCGAGTCAATGTCAACACACTATCTCGCCATTTTAGCGATCGCGACGTCTTCCATGAATGACAGGCGTAACGAGAGTGGTGCTCCGATGTTTACCCTGAGGTGTTTACTAGAGGTCCGTGATAATGGAACTCTAGTGAAAACAGCTGGTAACAGAGCGAAGTACATTCATAATAAATAGTTTCTGATTGGTGGCCGCATGTGCATCCATATGAGAAGTTGAGAACGCCTTTTTCTTACATCATAAAGTCGATTGTGCGTCTTGAAACAAAATCAAAATTACAAAGGTAAACAAATTCATTGGATAATGAAATTAATATTCAAGTGAATTTGCTCACTTTTATAATTTTCACCTCATTTCAAGGTACATACATTCCACCATAATCGATTTTCCCATGAATTTATATACTTTAAAAAGAACAGAAAAATACCATATGGTATAAATAATAAATAAAAATAAAATGATCATAGATTAGAGATAACGAATAATCAGAAATATAATAATTGTAACATATAACTAGAAATTTCCTTTAGCAATTGATGCCGATATTGCCGATTAATAATGCATACGTTTGCGCGACCGCGGTGCAGGCTGAACGGGGAACGGTGAGGCGCGCAGGTTCGGGGTTCGCCGTTCGGCTCGTCTTCCCTTCTATCATGGTTCGTCCCGCAGTTCGTGGAGCGCGTTCGCGGGGTACGGGGTACTCGGAGTGCGAGCCGGATAGACGCGCGACGAGGATGGGATTGCCGTGCGGCGACAATGAATCGCGTTGCGAGTCGCGTCCGCGGCCGACCGCGTAGCTCATCAGGTGTGATCGTAGAGCCGAAAGTAAGGTCGGCCGGCGTGAACGCGGTACCGAGGCGTTGCCGCCTCGTTCTCTGACGAACGTCGGTCCTTCCCGAAGAGAAAAGAAGAGAGAGCGAGAGAGAGGGAGGGCGAGAGAGTAAGAGAGGGAAGGAAAAGAGAAAGAGAGGGAGTGAAAGAGGGAGCCCTCCTCTTGGCGGAGAAACGAGACGCGAGGAGGTCCCCGTCGCGCGAGCTGCTTTTTTTGGCGAGCGTCGCCGACATGAGCCAGACGAGCCGTGGACGAGCGAGTCGCGTCACCAGTCGCACGAACTGCCCTGTCAGCTGATCGTTTATCGCACAACGAAATGTGAGGTGTTACCTATTTATCTACCTATCTATCTACCTACATAACGTCAAGCCAGAACGTCATACTGCTTCCGCGTATTGCGGCTCCGATCCACGTCGCCCACGTTTCTCCCCGCGTGCAAACTGAGACTGCGAGCGCGACCGCGCGCGCCAAGTGCGACAGGCGGGAAGCACAGGGGCACCTGGCACCGGTTAGAATTTACATGGGAACATGGGGAACAAGAATAGCTGTTGCGTCTACTCCAGTCCACAGGTCGGACGCAAGGAGGTGGGGCCTGAGAGCACCACGCGCAACCTGGAGGAACACCTGCCAGAAGGTGGAATTAGCGTTAATAATTTGCAACATATCAGTGAACGCGAGCCGGAGGACTGTGACTCTGATCCGTCGTTGCACCCATGTGCAGGAACTATCTTCATGGAGCGTTCCAAGCAAGCTATTGAAAGTGAGTATATCTTGGAGGTTGACAGGAAAGATTGGCTCATGATACATATTTGGTATGATTATTCCTGGTCTCCCTTTTTTTTAGATGGCATGGTGAGGAAGAAGAGTCAACATCAAATAGCAGATACAAGGCCTTTGAAGAAGAGTAGCAGCTGCAGTACAATATATTTAGATGACAGCACGGTTTCACAACCTAACTTGAAAAATACCGTCAAATGCGTTGCCTTAGCCGTTTATTACCATATTAAGAATAGAACTTCGCAGCGACAGATTGATATATTTGATGAGAAACTGCATCCATTAACGGTAATATGTCAAATTGTACAAGAAGTTGACAAGGGATTATTGATGCTTTCTAGCAAGAGATACAGACATAACACAATCATCATTTCATCCTGTTTAAGGCTGATATATTCATGTGTTGTATGACAAACTTTTTAAGCAAGTTGTTTAACTATAGGACAGATTTAAGAACCTCCCTGTTCTATAATCAAACAACCAATCAATAGGCTTGAAAAGTTTTATCTTATGACATATAAAATATTAAACTAACATTGGCAAACAACAAGGATAAATGCCACTGTGTTACACTGTGTCACCTGTATCTCTTGCTGTAAAACACCTAATATATTAGCTGCTTCCCTAGACCAGTGATCTATTTCTATTGTTTCTATGTTTCTACCTTCATATTTTCGTATACTTACTCATTTAATGTCAACTACATGATTAGACAGAAAGAAGTCTTAAGATTTTCCTGTGCAAAATTATGAGGCAGTGCTTGAGTAAATTTATTTTTCAGAGGGATGGTGTTTCAGAGGATTACGACAAACATAATCCAGAGCACAAGCAGATATATAAATTTATAAGGACTCTGTTTAATGCCGCTCAGCTTACTGCTGAATGTGCCATCATAACGTTGGTTTATCTTGAACGCCTACTTACTTATGCAGAAATAGACATAACACCGGCCAACTGGAAACGTATAGTACTGGGAGCTATTTTATTGGCGTCCAAAGTTTGGGACGATCAGGCGGTGTGGAATGTAGATTACTGTCAAATATTAAAAGACATCACGGTGGAAGATATGTAAGTCTATTTTCAGTTACGTTTAGATTATTGTATTTGCTATTTTGTGAAAATAATTATTGTAATTTCTTTAATTAGGAACGAATTAGAGAGACAGTTTCTGGAGATGCTGCAATTTAATATAAATGTTCCTTCGAGTGTGTATGCCAAATATTATTTCGATCTTCGTACACTCGCGGAAGCGAACGAATTAACATTCCCTAGCGAACCACTTAGTAAAGAAAAGGCGCAGAAGTTGGAAGCTATGTCCAGAGTTTACGAAGATAAGGTCACGGCCGAAGCTCTACGTACCGGTATTAAAAAGTGGTCGAGCTTAGACAATGTATGCATAGGCGGACCTAGACGTAGCATTGCTATTTTATCCTAAACATATGTATGGATATAAACGGATGTAAACACAGACGCAAGGTTATTGCTCCGATTTTAAATGGAGGTATGTGAAATTTTGTAAAGATATCATTGTTACCGATCGATTTTAATGATTTTTGAAAGAGATTGTTTGGATTCTACCAAACATTTGTGTTACACTTCTGTTTAATTATTATGGAATATTTGATGTATTATATACATCTCTTGGCAAACTGTTTTTACATATTGTCTACTAGATGTAAAAATATCGTATGTATACCGCATGTACGGCTAAGATGTACCATAATGGAAGAATTTCCGTTATAAGTATGGTTTGCAATAACAATCTTAATCCTTACCGTACTATGTACATTTTTGTGTACTCATCAATACTATCACCTAGAATCTCTTCATTTTTTCATCTCTTCAAAATAATTCAAAAAATCTCTAAAAATTCGTCAACATACTTTCAACTTTCTAGAATAGATATTGACTCTATTTTGGAAAATAATAAAATGTAGTCTAATTTATAATTACCGAAAGTCTCGAAGAAACTTGCATGAACAGGAATCGCTCGGTCACTAGTTACCCATATTAGTACGGTAAGGATTAAACCTAATCGTTATAAATATTATACTTTAAAATTTAGACGTTTTTCAATTTATTATAATTTCCAATAATATATAATTTACATTATTTTTGTTGTATGCATTAAAGAATCGTAAATCCGATAGAGAAATTTTATACTGGCCTTCTTTCTAGAGAGAGATATAATTTCTAATCACTTCTATTAATTTTGTTATACTATTAATTATGAAAAATTATAAATATTAATCTTATTAATTTGTCAATAAATATCAATATATTTCTGTTGATTGTGTGCAAAGATTCTACTGTCCGGGACCTTATAATGTGGATGTAACAAAGCATACGAGAATGCGAGGCGTATTGAAACAAAGGGTGAGAAAGAAAAAGTTTTTAGTCGTAGCATTATCTGTACTGTCCTTATGGGAGAAAATAACTTGTGATATATATTAGTCAACTATTCATTATCCAAAGCATTTTATATATTGACTGAATTTAATAAGAATCAAAGTTATGGCTGATTTACTAATAACATTCTAAAAAACGAAAATCTATACATGCTTCAAATTAAAAATCGATATTTGTTAGTAACGCTACGTAATTTATCGAGATAATCCAATTCGAAATTTACAAGTCAAAGTTGTAATGCATGTCACTTTGATATATATGTCCAAATTATTTTTAAATATATTTATATTTCTTTGATTTTGTGTATCTTCTCACTGTCATATACATCGAAGAATTATTATGAGAGAAAAGTTATTCAAGATTTAGAAAATGAATTATACATTTTTTTATATAACGAGATCTGTTCTTTATCGATGATCTCTCTGAACTAGTGCACACCGCTGCAATGAGTTAAAGTGAAACAAATATAGTTTGGTTCATTTCAATTTATTGCACCTGCTATTAGAAAGTTCTTCAATAAAGAACGAGCTTATAATATTTATAATGTATTTTCTTTTGATACATTTCTATAATATTAGTAGAAAAACCGTTCATTGGTTTTTATTGATTTAGAATTATTACTATTATTAGAATTTTTTAATCAACAAATGTACAGCATAACAATTTATAAAAAAAATTTTTGACGTTTAATTCAATATATCGGATTTGATATAGATGATTTATGTAATTTGAATAATAGTACATAGCAAGAACACCATTTACAATAAATATTATTATAATAGCGTAAATATTAGCAAATCAGCCTTTATAGCTTATTAAGAATGAAGAGCACGATAAATTAGAGTCTGAATAATTGCTTTTATATGGCGCTACTTCCATGGATTTATAACTTTAGATAATGCACGAGATAAGGATAAGCCATGATATCAGGGTTGCATCTTTTCTCTCTTATAAAACTACTCAGTCTGGTGCAAGGTTATTCACATTATTAATAATAGAATTTCATTTTAATCAGTCTATTCTATCATGATTATTGGAAAGAAAGTTAATCCGATATCAAATTCATGTCCTTTTTATAATGCAATACGCATTACTTTTAGATACTTTATAGAGAATATTGAGTAAATTCATCAATCTTATTACGAAATCACAAAGATCGCATTTTTATGGCCATAAAATTGCTATAAAGTATTTCAATCTCATAGCTATGTAAAGTATTCATTTCGTAAAGCTTGCAATTAAATCTTCCAAAGATCATCCAGAAATATGATTACTAAGAAAAAAAAGAACTTAGAAGTTGTATCATATTCACATTTTACTATATGACAAGGTGAAATTAAAATACCATTAATGTACTATTAATATAATCGTGTATCATACGTGCTACTAATTGACTTATGTACGATATAATTTAATATTTTGTACCTACCGGTTAGAACTTTAAATATAAGATAGTCTTATATATTGTATGACTGGTTACGTCTATAAGAATTAAAGTGTAATCTGAAGTTCCGTTGGATTTTCAGAATGCCGTTGACGGAGAAAGAATAATTACGATTTATTATTATTTTTATATTTTATTACATGAAAGTCAAAGTGTTGTAACGGTCGAATTTATAATAGAAGAACTGCTGTAAAGTCCAATGTACGTGGGAGGAAACGAAGTAATCGTTTTTCGTGCGTTTGTCAGCTTTTAACTATTATATTGTATAATATATGCTGGATGATGAGTGTAATGTAACATATTTGCAATTTCTGTCCACATTATAATTTTTCATTTTGCCTGTCCGACAAATAAAAATATATTTTTACTGCATTATTATATTATAGATAACTACATACATACACGCTATGTATGCTGCGGAAGCGTTTATACAACTTTACAGAACAATTAATACACCATGCGATGCCAAAATGTTGTTAAAATTATAATGTATAGACAATTGCATATAACACACACACACACACACACACTCACATACGAAAAGAATGTGTACTGCACTGCGGTTTCCGTTTATTTTTATTACATTCTAATTTTCCGACAAAAACTAGATCTTTATAGAATTTTCACGCGCTATTTTTATAAATAGATATTCATTATGAAGACAATCTTCGAGTCTTATTGCGTCCTGTAAATAAATTGCCGAATTCGTGTAAGATTCGTAAACATATGTATCATAAACCGTACCACTTTGTTAGTAGTTACCCGAGCACTGGAAAAAATAACATTTGCGCTTGAAGGTGATGTTTCGTAGAGGGTCGCCTTTAAGTCTTCCATCCTAGCGTCTGTACAGATTCTCCTACAGTACTTTAACTCCACGTAATAAATATTACGTTTAACATATTATGAGACCGATGCTTTTATAATATGAATTTGTGATAAATAGATATACCAATACATTATATCGTTTTGTACATATATATATATATATATATAAATATCTGCATAAAACATATGGCTGTATCTATTTTCACTGTAAATTTTATTGTCCGATTACAGAGGCAGATATTAAGGCTATGAAATTTATACTCTATCGCATCTTTCACGTTTACTAAAAAAAAGTCAGATAATTAGAAGTCTTTCTTTTTCCTACACTTGCCCGATATAAAAAAAATGGATGCTTCCGCTTGAACACATAGCGCTTTCATATAATTATTGAATGCAAATGGCATTCCTTGGAAACATCAAACATAAATCGTTTATCTTTTTATCATAATTTCCCTTTTAATGTTGTATCTTGTTCTTATTTGCACGATTGGAAGCATAGAAAACGGTGAGTGCGCGCGTACGTATGATAGTTAAGATGTATAAAACGTATGGTTTTTTTTAAAGAAATTATTATTAATAATGATTATACACAGAAATACAATGTTATTCAACTATGTATACAATAGTTGTACCGAAACCCGATGACTGTATACACAAGCGGAGCCATTCTCATCTTTCCGAAAAGCGCCAAATTTCTAAAAGACGCAATATTTCTTACAAAAATAAAATTGTGCCTGAAATAATTTATTTAACCAATATGTATATTTGAATTTGTATATCCTATGCCAAAACTTTTAACATATATGTATAGATGTATAAAACGAATATACATGAAATTTTAATAAACAATTTCATCTCGTAATACAAAAAGTAAAACGAATAAAAACTATTATCTCGTCTCAAAAAATTACATTTATAATTATCTCTTTCCAGTTAATAAAGTATATCAACAAATATATAAAAATCCACCAAACAAAAATATTGCAAAGAGATGGCACGGCAAATTTCTCTATTCCTTATGATTAAGATAATAAAAGTTGGGAAGTACGTTCTGAATGATTTATTTGATGGTATTAACGTCCATTCGATCAGTAAATACATATTAATATTATATAACGACCCAATTCCTCACATTTTCATATTATATATATATATATATATATATATGTGTGTAT